CTTGTCTGGTACCCAAAATACCCAAAACTCTATTAACAGTCTTCTATCGGCCAAGAAGTTGACTGAGGAAAAAGCCAGTGAAGAGCAGAAGACGGATACGAAGTGATGATAAAAAGGAGCAGAGTTTATTGAATAGTCTTAGTTGCATATGTTTCAATGCTCAGACTTCGTCTGACCAGCACTAATTCAACAAGTATTGTTATACCAAACTGATCACAACAACAGCCCATAATAATCCTTGAGTTTCCATAAACATTCCCACTTATCTCTTATTCATGAAGACAAACAGCCCTTGAAACCACACAGTCATAAGACTAAACAACAATGGAAAATAGTATAAAAAAACAACAATAATATAATATAATATAAATGACTAATCAATCAATGAATCAATGAAATGAATATATAAATGGCTATAATGATTATTATAAATGATTATATGATTATATGGAATAATAAAAATGATTAAATGATTAATCATAAATAAATAGATATAAAAGAAAAAATGTAAAACACAACACAAATGTATGATTGCTCACTTGAAGCAAAAACACACACAGTTTCAGATCCTTCATGTCAGAATGAGAGTCCAAACAGCTGATTAAAAGCATCACAATAGTCCATAAGTAATCCACACCACTCCAGTCCATCATCAGGATGTTTTAACTTTAAATGATCATGTCTGGCCAAAATGGCAATCCATAATAATGCATTCTGACGGCACCCATTCGCTGCATTTTTGGGTAAACCGTTCCATTAAACTCTAAAATTTCATTTTATTTGATTAAAATATGATATCTAAGGTGAGGCACAATAACAAGCTAATGAAAATTTGAAAATCTTTACATAATGTTTTATTATTATTATTATTATTATTATTAAGGTTTTCACAACTTTACAATCATTCAACAATGTGAAAAATATTCCTAATAAAGAAAGAGTAGCTGTGTCCAATTGTTTATCTGCTAGTGTAAATGTATTTTCACATACGCTGTATTTTTAATGCATAGTGTGATTGTTATATGGTTTGTCAGGTGTTCTGGGTCACCTGATGGCTTTAGAGAGGGGAGGTATGGGACAGCAGGACCAGCATGACTCTCAGAGGTTAGAGATGCTCAAAGCCAGAGCTGTGACCCTCCGTGCCAAAAGAGATCAAATCAAACAACAGACAGATGTGGTCAAGGTGAGACAGGGTTGAAATGGTAAAGAGACATTTATCTAATATCTAACCTTGTCAAACAGATTTATTATCCACTTTTTCTCATTGCACGGCAGATCCTGAAAGATAAAATCAGCAAAGATCTTCCATTGGAAGATGATGCTGCTGCAGCAGGCGGCTTCATTGAACAACAGAAGTCTATGTTAACAGCTTGGAGAATGCAGTTGAAAGACCTTCAGCGTGCTCATCACTTAATTGGTAATTTTGTACCGATTAAATCATATTGAGTTCACACGTAGATCATCTGTGTATTGCGTCTGTTTCAGGCCTGATCGATTGTGCTGTCTTTCTCAGGTGGCTATGAATTGGTGGAGTGTAAGGAAGGGAAAAGCGTGTGTGTGTCTTTTCACACGGCCTTTGAGGGTGTGTATTTGGAGACGTATAACATGGAACTGGACCTGACGCGCACCGTGCAGATCTCTCGCCATAACATCCCCCCGTCATTCCCACTCGAGAGTTTCGCCAAACAGAACCTGCAGAAAGACTTTAAAGCCTTCCTGCAGACCCTCAGCCAGAACCTCAACGCTTTAGCTGCTCGCAGACGGCAGGTCTGCCTCCTCAAGGTATTGAGGTTCAATGCATTTATTGTATATACTAGGGTTTGGGGTGTTTTTAATATTTTTGAAATAAATCTCTTATGCTTGCTAAGGCTGCATTTATTTGATCAAGAAATACTAAAAACATTAATATTGTTAAATATTATTACAACTTAAAATCACTGTTGTCTATTTAAAAAGATTTTATAATGTATTTCATTCCTGTGATGCAAAGCTTAGTTTTTAGCATCATTACTCCAGTCTTCAGTGTCACAAGATCCTTCAGAAATCATTCTAATATGCTGATTTTCTTATTATTATTAATGTTGAAAACAGTTCTGCTGCTTAATATTTTTGTGGAAACTGTGGTAGATATATTTGATGAATAGATCTCTGATTATCAATGTCTTTACTTTCACTTTGATCAATTTAATGCATTCTTGCTGAATATAAATCTTTCTTGTCTTTGCCACAGGAGCTCGTTGGTTCGGTGGAGGTGATGGAGAGCAATCAGTTGTGCAATATTCTTGTGCTCATGTGTACAGCACAAAGCGAGACTCCCAAAGCTGTTCTATGCACACTGGAGTACGGCGATCTCTCACAATGTCTGCCAACACGAGTTAGCATCGAGTGTGAAGGTACGACACATCACAATTTAACTGAACCTGGATAAGCTCCACCCCTTTGTTTACCGTCTCATTTAGAACCGAACATTCATGTGGCTCAGACAAGACATCATGACATTTGCAATGCCAGTCTTTTGAGTTCAGTTTGTACTGTATAGCTTGAAAAATAGGCAGCTTGAATGCAGTGTAAGTCGATTTGGATAAAACGGATGCAAATGTAACAGAACAAATTAATATGAATTAATTAAAGATATAGTTCACCCAAAAATTTAAACTCTGTCTTCATTTACTCATCCTCATGTCATTCCAAACCTGTTTGACTTTGATTATCTTTGAAACACAAGTTAAAGGGGTCATATGATGCTTTTTTAAAGATCATTATTTTGTGTATTTGGTGTAACAAAATATGTTGACATGCTTTAATGTTCAAAAAACACATTATTTTTCAAATACTGTACATTATTGTAGGTCCTCTATGCCCCGCCTCTCTCAAACGCTTCGTTTTCTACAAAGCCCCCTCCTTCCACTGAAGATGGACTTCTTCTTTGTGGTTCAGCAGTCTTACGTCCATGTGACGGCAAGACTTGGGTCTCTTAATGCTTAGCTGTGTTGACATTTTGAGATGTTTCTTTGAAACAAATAAATGGAATGAAACGACCAGGTTTTGGTTGAGTACAAAATGCAGATTGTTTCAAGGTAAATTTATTTTAAAAACACACTGCTCAAATACATACGTCTCAGAAGCTTCAGACTTTCACAACCCAATTAATGTTTCAAAGTTAATTTATTTTGCCCAAATATGTATATTGTGTATAAATAATAAATGTAAATGTACTGTACGTGAAGCTGCTGCATATGGTTTCTCATCTCGTATGAGCATGTAGACTTAGAATCTGCTGCTATGACACTTAAACATATAAACAGTGTCTTTCGTTCGGTCAGGTTTCCGGGTTTTGAATTTCAAAGTCATTCGGTCACATGATCACTATTGTGTCAGTAAAGATGAAAGGTTGAACTCCATTCAGATCTCCATTTAATAGCTCACAACTCCTTTGTGACATTTACTATTTTTCTAAAAATGTGTTATAAATGATTTCATATCTCAGTAGTTTGGTATCTCAGAGTAAGATTATCTAGTGTTTACTATTGTATTCTGATTTATTTATCCCCCAATGTGTTTATTGTCTTCTTTTGCAATACAGCGGATGAAATTATTATTGTTACAGATCAGTATTATATAATATCCTCTAGCCAAGCAATTTGGAGAACTGGGTGATAAGGTTTAATAGAATATTATATATTGTTAAATAATATAAATTATTATTTTTACAGTTCGGGTAAATTGGGCTTGTTTATGCTATTTGCAATGTAAAAACCTAAGATGAGGAGTATTACAACTACAAGATCATAAATTAATAAACGATCTTCAAACTGTTTAAGAAGAGTCAGAATGTGGTTCATTTTGAATGTAGTTCTACCATGGTAACAATGGTATTTTTCTATGATTACCATGGTATTTTTTGGGGGGCGGTACTAATTTTTTATATCCAGCATTTCATTTAACTGTAGTTGATGATCAGTTCAGACATGCTAAAGACCAACGTCCAGTAAACAACATTCACAGCATCAAAACATCGATTTAAAAAGTGATCTAATGAGGTAAGGTTCCTTTAAAATGACTCTTAATTTGATTTCGTTAATGTTTTCTCTGGCAGGAAGTGGGTTATTTTAAGTAGCCTATAGTTTGAGTATTGTCAGACAGCAGAACTGAAGAATTAAAGTCGATGTCAGAATGTGTGTCATTCCTGCAAAAACAAACTCTTTTGAACTGATCTATTCTCTTATAATTCATTGATGTGCATCATTTTTAATGATCGTGGCAGAATTGTTGACGTCATATGTGCGTTGAAATTGCACAGAAAAGCAAACGTTAATGCAATTCACTTACTGTATTTTAGTGCATGTGTATGTCAAGTTACCTTGCAACAGTGTAGTGTTTTTGTGATAGGAAGCTCCGCTTAAATTTCTCATTTCTTTTGTTTTAATTTTAGGTTTTTAAAGTAAAGCTTATGTCCTGTTTGTTTTAGATCACATTTAAATGTCAAAGCAACAAATGCAAGAAGAGAAAACGGTAAGTAAAAACATTAGCTTCATTATTGAATACTAATTTTCTAAGTTTTATAATCAAATGACTTTAAAGTCTCTTTTTATTTTTATAATCACATTGCCAATGTATTGCAGGGGAAAGCAAACAACATAAAATGATAAAAGGCAAATTAGAACTAAGAAGCATGGCAAACAGATTGTATTTCTTCTTAATTTCTAGTCAATGCAGGCAGTGTGTGTTGATGAATCAGGGAAGCTGGATTTGAAACATATTCCACGGCCTGAACCCAAAGATGGGCAGCTCCTCATGAGAGTCGCCGCATCCGCTTTAAACAGAGCTGACCTACTACAGGTAAACCATAAAATGCTGCTAGTGTTTGTGCCTTGGATAAACTGAATCTCATTTATGGCTTATTTTAATTGACAGAAAAGGGGTCTTTACCCTCCTCCTCCTGGAGCGAGTGAGATCTTGGGTCTGGAGGCCAGCGGTGTGATCACTGACATCGGTCCTGGGGTCAAAGGGAATTGGAAACTTGGAAGTAAAGTAATGGCTTTACTCGGAGGAGGAGGCTATGCAGAATATGTAGCTGTTCCAGAAGAACTCGTCATGCCTGTCCCGTCACCCCTCACTCTTTATCAAGCTGCAGCTCTTCCTGAGGCCTGGCTGACTGCCTACCAACTTCTGCACTTCATAGGTAACACGATGTCGGCTTGCTTTGAGTTTTATTTTCTTTAAATGTAACTTTTTAACAAAAAATAAATTAGCTGAACATGTACTCACTCTCAATCCATCCAAGATGAGTTTGTTTCTTCATCAGATTTGGAGAAATGTAGTATTGCATCACTCGCTCACCAATGGATCCTCTGCAGTGAATGGGTGCCGTCAGAATGAGAGTCCAAACAGATGATGAAAACATCACAATAATCCACAAGTAATCCACTCCAGTCCATCAGTTAATGTCTTGTGAAGAGAAAAGTTGCATGTTTGTAATTAAGAGATTTTTTACTTTGAGCTTTGCTTCTTGCTAAAATACGAGTCCTCTATCCATAATATTGTTTTCTTGAGTGAAAAAAGTAGTTTCGTATGAATCAGGAAAGAAATGTGCACAGATCAAGCACCATTTACAAGCAAAACAGGCCAAAGCATTTCTAAACAAATATGTGCATGGACTTTTTCACTGAAGTGTTATTATAGATTATAGACCAGTATTTTGCCCAGAAGCAAGCAACTTAAAGTTAAAACTCCGTGATGATGGATTTGTTTCTTACAAACACACAGCTTTTGGCTTCACATGATGTTAACTGATGGACTGGAGTGGTGTGGATTACTTGTGGATTATTGTGATGTTTTTATCAGCTGTTTGGACTCTCATTCTGACGGCACCCATTCACTGCTGAGGATCCATTGGTGAGCAAGTGATGCAGTGCTTTATTTCTACAAATCTGTTCTGTTCAAGAAACAAACTCATCTACATATTGTATGGTATGAGGTTGAGTATATTTTCAGCAAACATTCATTATTCGATTAACTATTTCTTTTAAGCATTCAAATGCATTTTAAGGCCATTATATTTTCATATGCTGCTGTTTTTTATAGCCAAAGTGAAGCCGAATGAGACGGTGTTGATTCATGCTGGAGCGAGTGGAATCGGCACCGCTGCCATTCAGCTGGTTCGCTTGAGCCGTGCGATTCCTGTAGTAACAGCAGGGAGTTCGGAACAGTTACAATTTGCAGAGCAGATGGGAGCAGCTGCAGGAGTCAATTACAAAGAGGAGGATTTTTCTGAAAAAGTACTGCAGTTCACTGAAGGTCAGTATTCTAGTGTTCGGAATGTGTTTATAATATTACATTCTATATTAAATATCAATATTAAAATGAACACATTTACTTTAAATTCTGTGTTTTTGTGCAGGCAAGGGGGCTGATGTAATTCTGGACTGTGTTGGTGGATCTTTTTGGGAGAAGAACATTTGTAGCCTTGCAACAGATGGACGATGGGTGCTTTATGGCATGTTGGGAGGTAAAACGGCCGATGGAGACTTGCTTGGCAAGCTTTTGAGGAAGAGAGGCAATCTTCTTTGCAGTCTCCTCAGATCAAGAAGTTTACAGGTTAGACTCAGGAATACTAGTTACTTCAAATTTGACACATTTTCTTCATAAACTGTAGACTAAAAGGAATATGTTTCTGTAGCATTAAAAGTTATGCACTTTGCATTTATGATTGTGTTTTATTTCTAGTATAAAGCAGAGCTGGTCCGGAGTTTCACAGAGCAGGTTTTGCCGCACTTCCAGTCAACAGATCCTCCCTTGTGGCCTGTGATAGACAGCATGTTCAACATGGAGGATGTTGAAATGGCTCATCAACGTATGGAGGCCAACAAAAATATTGGGAAAATAATCATCAAAATTGGAAACTCTTGATCATATGCAATAATCAGCGTAGATTGTCTGTTCGAATCCCGGCTCGAGGACCTTTCCCGATCCCGATCCCGCTCCCCTCTCTCTCCCACTTCACTTTGTCTGCTCTCCACTGTTGTATAATAATAAAGGCAAAACACCACCAACAACAAAAAATCGGCATAGATGATTAATTTGTAATTATGACATAAGACTTATACTGTAATAATTCTGAATGGAGGAAATCATTAAGACCACTTACAAAATCTATTCATGTTAAATGTTGCATAAAAAGAATTCACATAAATAAATACCTTAAAGAAGTTTATAAGAGGAAAACATACAGCTTTAGGGTGAAAAAAGGTATTTTCTGTCTGTGATGAGGATCGGATTAATGAGATCACATTTTGTACCTGTTTTAAATCTTCATATCACATGTTCTCCTAATTATGTGTATTACTTTAAACTGCTGTCTAGTTTAATCCAGTATTTATGATTTAGGATAGTTAAAGGGATAGTTCACCCAAAAATGAAAATTCTGTCATCATTTACTCAAACAGTTGGTGGTTGCCATTGACTTCCATAGTATTTTTTTTCCTACTATGGAAGTCAATGGCAACCACCAACTGTGTGATTACCAGCAATCTTCAAAATATCTTCTTTTATGTTCAACATAAGAAAGCAACTCATACAGGTTTGGAACGACATGAGGGTGAGTAAATGATGACAGAATTTTCATTTTTGGGTGAACTATCCCTTTAAGAAATCTCTAAATAGTCTTACAATATGGCTACAAATGAGGGCTATTATTTTTACTTTTACATTTATAGTAAACATTTGTATTTTAAAATAGTTTGGGTTGCTTTTTTATTTATAGGGCTTCACTGATCACTATGTAAAATAGTAGAAGATATGACCGCTAAATGAAAGTAGCTGACATGACATTTCAAAACTGTAAATCTAAAACAATTTCAAGTAACATTTTTATACATTTTGCTGAAGTTGTTTGAAACGTCCAGTTATTTAAACGCTTTCAAAACATTTTTATTGGTCAAGAGTTAACATTACCCTTACCAAAAAGTTGTATACTTCAAGTTTATTTTAGTAAGTATACTTAAGTAAAGTTCAAGTATATTTTTAAGTATACTTTATGTAGCAAGTATACAAATATCAGTGTACTAGTAGTATACTTGTAAGTACTATTTCAATACTCCTTGGGACTAAATTGGCCCACTTTCTAGTATATAAAAGTATACTTTAAGTATAACAGTGGTAAACTTTAAGTACACAACTAGTATACTATTTAATATTTTAGCTTGTACTGCAACTATACTAAAAGTGAACTTATGTGAATACTGATAGTGTTCTAATTAAATACTTGTAGTAGCATTTTTAGTACACTTTGAAGTATAGTCTTAGTAAACTACTAGTTTAGTAATTTTATACTGCAAGTATACTCGTAAGTTTTCTTTAAAAGACTATGAATTGGATTCAGAACGATAATCGAAACGTAGATAGTCGATCTTTTCCCAAAGCTTTTTTGGAAATCCTGTACAGAAAATGTGTACTAGCGCCCCCTACAGTATAACCATGAAAACACGGATTCTAGGAACACAAGTATAGCTCAACTATATTTAGACTTTTTCTAAGTAGGCTATAAGTCAAGTATACTTAAATGTCATTTTAAGTATCTTTCTGAGAAGTACATAAAAAGTAGACTAAAAGTATACTTTCCTATTTTTTTGTTTAAAAGAAGTATTCTAATAGCACACTTGAATAAGCTTCTTTTTCGTAAGGGTAAGGAAACAATAATTCATTCATTTATAATTTTGCAGACATTCTGGGAACGTTACTTTTATATGTTCTCTGAACATTCTGAAACAATTGGTTACATTTTAAAAATGTAAGTAAAAAAAAAAACGTTTCGTGAATTATGCATAAAGAACGTTTTGAGAACATTATTAAAGAGCAGATAACTTAAAACGAAGGTTTTTTAAAAATATATATTACTGGAAGAACGTTTGTTCATAACTTCGAGAGAACGTTAGCCAATGTTCTGAGAACGTTCTCTGTTAGCTGGGCCTTAACCGGGTTTTTCAAACTCAAAGCCAGATAAGTTACTTTCACTATTCACCGCTGCTCTTGAGCTTTAGTACTTGACGTAGGAACTTTATTTCCTACTTCCTGGTCTAAACTCTGATCAAGATCAATGGCTCCACTTCACTTTTCGCCGTTGAAACGCTGTAAATATTAGTAGAAATGAATACACAAGTAACTTTATTAAAAATCGACTACTTTTCATAAACGGTAAGTGATCGATTTTATTGATTTATTAGTTCTCAGTCATGTGTTGATCTCTAACAGTCCTGAGCTCAGCGCCAGTCTACTGAAAATAAAAATGTAAAATGCTTTCGTAATATAGTTCGTAATAAAATCGGAAACATTGTTTGTAAACGAAATATTAGTCATGTGGGTGTCCATAGTCGTTTTGTGGATGAATTACTAACCCTGGATATTTCTTTACACTTAATATCTTTTTTAATGGATAAAGAATATTGATAATATTACGTTATTTCTTGTTTTGTTTGGTTGTATTTCTTCAGTGTACTGTATGCACATGTATGCCCTATTTGGACTCTTAAGGACACACTTTACATTCATGAATGTCATTGTTATTTTTTCTTTATTATAATTGCTCAATGTCTTTTAATCAGCTAGTGATTTGGTGATTATTAGTGGATGTATAATGTTAGTTCACACAGGTGTCCATTTTGCTTTGATATGTTGTTATCTAATGCAATGGCATCCATTTTTAGGCATAAAAATGTGGCATAAGCGGCATAAGTGTCCAAATACTTTTATATAAGAGTAGAAAATATTTTGAAAGAATGGCATAATGACTGTCTCCATTTGTGATCTTCAGTCTTTAGTGTTTTTAGCAGAATTTGACAATGGCAGATACAAGCCGCCCTCAGCGCAAGCTGTCCCGATCTGGAGAGAGTTTATACGAGATATTAGGCTTGCCGAAAGGAGCTTCATCTGAGGATATTAAGAAAGCATACAGGTATTCTGGTTTATAGCTTATACTAATCAAGAAATAACAAATGCAACATCCCTATAAAGGCTTTGTGTTATAAATCCCCACCTTAAAGGGTTCACCCAAAAATGAAAATTAGTCCATAAATTACTCACCCTCAAGTCATCCTAGGTGTATATGACTTTCTTCTTTCAGACGAGTCCAGTCGGAGTTATATAAAAAATTGACTTTGATCTTTCAAGCTGTTTAATGGCAGTCAGGGAGGTATGTGCCGGTGAGTCTCGTGAAAACCAGCGTTTGTTTACTGGAGCAAAGGAAGCAAAGTTTCCTCACTTCTGAGCGGCGCATGCGCAACGCTGACCTCATACGTCATCCGCCCGAAACTGGCACTGAAGTATCACCCAGACAAGAACCCCAACAACCCTGAAGCGGCGGAGAAGTTCAAAGAGATCAACAATGCCAACGCCATCCTCAACAACGACACCAAACGACAGATCTACGATGAATATGGCTCCTTGGGCCTCTACGCCGCAGACCAGTTCGGAGAGGAGGGCGTTAAATACTACTTCCTCATGTCCAAATGCTGGTTTAAGGTGAGTAGTTTGTTTCTTATTTGTTTTTATTTCTACTTTTATATGCAGTGTAAATAATAAAAGTCATGGCACTGCATCTTGAAAAAATCTGATAATTTGAAAAAAAAAGGCCCAATATTATCTGATTTCGTAATGCTGAGTTAAAAAATATTAATAACCACATTCCATGATCGCGTACAGTTTTTTGAAAAATGAATATTTTTCAAATTATATGTATCAGCTTTAATGCACTTAGCAAAATAACAAAAACACTACATTTAATGTTAAAGGACTTTGAAAAATACGATTTTTTTTTTTTAATTCACAAAATCTGTCATTTTCTGTCACTGTTTGGATGCAGTAAAATATCCGCAGATGTAGTGGAAAACATCTGGCTGATGTTTGCATGTTCTTCTGTCACTGGGCATAATTTTAACCTTGAAATCAAGATTAGCCATTAAAAAATGTTTACAGAATCATTCATACATGTTCAAATCAGCCGAGAATTTAAGAAATAGTTGTAATGTGGCTCAGAGGAAGACAGGAATCATGTCTTTGTGCAGTTTTTGCTGCTAATTAGGCAACAGTACAAGACGTCTTCACCTTACAAATGGTTGTTGAAAGCAAAAATGCAATCAGCAGCTCAAAATTAGTAAGAAACAAGTAATTGTTTTCTATTTTTCGGTTCAGGCGCTCCTGGGATTGGGAGTGATCTTCACATGTTGCTGCTGCTGTTGCTGCTGTTGCTGCTGTTGCGGTAAATGTGGCGGTTCAGAGAACGAAGATCATTTTCACTATGTGGATCCAGATGAGCTGGAGGCGGAGATGTCAGAGGAGCAGAACAGAGGTGAGGAGCGGGACTCATGCTTTCAGCCCTGGAGCCTGCATCACAAGCTTACCAGATTCTGCCTGTGCCTGCAATTGTTAATAAGATAGCACTGTAAATCATGCAAATCACTGTATTTTGTGGTTTACAGGCAATGACACAGTAATAACAGGACAGCCTATTCCCAGTCCAGCACCTGGAAATTCAGGTGAACAACAGATGCACATTTTTGTGTGATAGATAGATAGATAGATAGATACTATACAGTAAGGAATCAGTAAGATTTTTTCTAATACTTTTATTCAGCAAGGACACATTTATTTGATCAAAAGTGAGGGTAAAGACATTTGAAAGTTCAACTTTTTTTTAAATTACATTTTACATTTTATTCAAATAGAAAAGAGTTGTTTTTTTCCACAATATTACTGTTTTTAAGTACATTTACTGTATTTTCAGTAAAATAAATGCAGATTTAGTGAGCATGACCCCCAAATGGTAGTGTATAAAAATAGTGGAATTATCAACTAGTAACATTCACCAATGGTGATGGTCTTGCTAATATTGCTAGCTGTTCTTATTTTGCTTCTTTTACTTAACTATTACTTTCTTTGTGTTGTTTAACAGGAAGCACTGTGATTGTAGGAATGGCCATTCCTGCCCACTCAGGTGTATATCAGCATCAATTATTAGCATTAGCACGTTAAATTCCGTGTGATGTGATGTACTTTTTGCCAAAAAAAAGGCATTAAAATTCCGATTCTGAGTTTGGTTATTTTGCTGTGTTCTCCTGCAGATGGAGACACTTCTGTACTGATCACTCCAGATGCACATGTGGCACAGGAGTAGAGCAAACTACGACCTCCAGACTTGTTAGGAAGACTGACTTACTCCTGTTTCTGGTTGTAGAAATGAGGACACTGCTGTAGAAATGCGTTTGAGCATCAGTGGTTTGTATTACATAGTGCCTGTGCAGTTTTTGTGACTCGTTTGATCTCCACACATAATGCTATTTCTGTTTACATCATTTTATAATTGCCTTTTGGTTGCTTGAATGTCTTGTGATTTTTTTTTTTTTTTTTTGCAAGAACCAGTGTTTTTTAAAACACATTGAAAGGACCACTGTAATCGTGCCTCACTGGTGATAAAGCTGCTAATTTGCAGGTGAATGTTTCGTTTGTTACGGCCTCAGAGATGGTTTTGTCTGAGATAAAAAAACGTTTTGTTTATAACTGAAATGATATGATTTCTATGTGGAATTATGAAAGATTAATAAATGTAGTTGATTACTGTATCTCTAATCAAGCGTTTTGTCCATTTATATGAATCTGTACAGCAGTAAAATTGCTATATGCAAGCAAAACAAAATAGAACGTTTGTTCATAACCTTGCCTGTTCTGAGAAGGTTCCCTGTTAGCTGGGATGTGCAAATGTGAGCACATGTTTTCCAAACCCTCCAGTTTCTTTATATCTTTCTTTATCTGACCTTGCTGAAATCTAAACATGCACCAACACAATTTTCTGCCATGTTATAGCAGCAGCGTGTGAAACAGCATATGGCTTTAGACCAACTGCAAACATTAAATTTCATATTCGTTCATCTACAAAACATTCTAGAAATTTTAACTCACACTTCTCAAAACATCTTGAGAATATAATCTGTCCTGTAATTACGAGCACTATTTATTGAAAGGAGTTTTTTGGTAAATTGTCTCCATGATGAATTTGGAGAAGGTCCAGCTGATCAAGCAGGACAAGACCTTGACGGACTCGCTTGAACTTTTGGGGTAAGTCTCAAATTCAATGAATCAATCTGACTTGTTTGAAAGGTTTGATCTAGATTTCTTCATTCTGTTTCTTTAGTCTTCTGGATAATTCAGAGGATGAATACGTCAGCACTCAGTTTGAGTGTAAACATGACACTGGAGCGTTTCATTGTCACAGCCTGAAAGAAAAGCAGCAAGGCAAAACACCGGCCCGAAGAAAGTTACTCATCACATGTGCTGTGTGCTTGATCTTCATGATCGGGGAAGTCATTGGTGAGAATAAAAGGACATGCTCTGTTTAAAGGACCTAATCTGCTGTATAACCTGCTGATTGCAAAAGTACAGTTGACAAATAAAATGGACATGAACTTTACTGTAACTTGCATTTGAGACTTGTGTTGACGTTCTGCTCTCGCAGGTGGTTACGCTGCTCATAAAGACCGATGCTGCACATCTTCTCACTGACTTTGGCAGCATTTCGATCAGTCTCTTCGCACTGTGGATTTCCTCTAGGCCACCGTCCAAACATCGGACCTTTGGATGGCATCGATCAGGTGTGTGTGTGTATATATATTTATATGCACATACTAAGAATACTTTTATGCTCACCAAGGCTGCATTTTTTAAATGCAGTAAAAACAGTAAAATTGTTAAATATTTTTCAAATTTAAAAAATTTGTCTTCTATTTTAATATATTTTAAAATGTCATTTAAATTGCTGCTCAAGAAACATTATTATTATCAGTGTTTTTGCCATTTCATATTTTTGTGGAAAAGGTGATACATTTTTTTTCAGGATTCTTTGATGAATATAAAGTTCAAAAGAGCAGCATATATTCAAGAAAAAAAATCTACTTTTATTTTTTTAACATTATCAATGTCTTTCCTGTCACTTTTGATCTATTAAATCTGTCCTTGCTGAATAAAAGTTATATTTATTTTCTTAATTCTGTATCAATTGTTCCACAAAAATATGAAGCAGCACAACTGTTTTCAACATTGATAATAATCAGAAATGTGTCTTGTGCAGCAAATCAGTATATTAGAATGATTTCTATAGGATCATGTAACACTGAAGTAATTGCTATTTGCTACTGAAAAATTTAAAATAAATTACATTTTAAAATATATTCACACAGAAAACAGTTCTTTTAAATTGTAGTAATATTTCACAAAATGATAACTATATTTTTGATCAAATAATCGCAGCCACTTCTCTCAAAAACACTAAAAATCAAACTTTTGCCACAGTGTTTGTGTCGTTTGTTTTGTCCAGAGGTTTTAGGGTCTCTTCTGTCTGTTCTGTCCATCTGGACTATGACGGTGGTTCTTGTTCTCTTTGCTGTTCAGAGGCTCATCAGTGATGATTATGAGATACACAGTGATGCATGTGCTGTAACGCTTAACATCTTGTGAGTGATGCTATTTGATTCCATTAGTAGTGTTTGTTGGGAAATGGCATGTTCATGTTCAGTGTTTCATGTGTTTCCATCAGTTTGGCTTTCATTCTCCATCAGTCTCCAGTCCGTCACTCTCACAGTCACGGCCTCACAGAAGAGCACAGGAGCACCAGCGTGAAAGCCGCTTTCATTCACATGTTGGGAGATTTACTGCAGAGTTTAGGTGTGCTGCTGGCTGCCTCCATCATCTACTTCAGGGTTTGTACATTACTGTTATTGGCATATACAAAAGTATGCAGAATTTCACTTGTATGGGCGCTTAGTCACACTTACAGATCAATTGTCTCAAATGCTGCAGGATCTTTTCACCTCAACGTCACTTTTCTTCATCTTTTGTGCTTAATGTGTGTGAATCAGTTTGTTTTGGTGATTTTTAGTGGATGTATGAAGTCAGTCCTCCTCAAGTTCACACAGATCATCACATTACAACATTAACTTGATCCATTAACTAAAAAATGTTATGTCGAATAAACACCACTTGCTTTTATATTACTTTATTTAATGCAGGGATTCCCAAACTTTTCGTCAGCCAAACCTCTTTAACCTAAAATATTTACTTGAAGCAACCCTGAGATTTTATGTTAATATTTTAACAATTTAACAACACTTTCACATGTTCATGGTTCTCTGATGTCAATTAGCCTACATGACATGCAGGTAAACTAATCAAATATTTCATCTATTTGTGTTTTAATTTGTTTTTATGTTTTATTTCAAATATATTTCATTTTGACATTTTTATTATTAGCTTTTTATAAGCTAACATCAGTTTGGGCAACTATGGTAGCCAGTTTTCACCACAGAATTAAAAAAAATGTTTTTTTATTTATTTATTTCACAATTCCGCATTTTCTGCAATTCTGTGTTTATCTAACAATTTTTCTGGAATTCGGAGAAAAAAGGTCTAAATCCCGTGGCGGGAAAAAAGTAGAATTGCAAACTCAGAACTCTGAGAAAAAGGTTAGAATTGAGTAATGCAAACTCAGAATTCTCATAATGCAAAGTTCTGTATTTTTTTCCCCCTCAGAATTGCGAGAAGTAAAAATTGTGAGACATATACTCAAAATTGGGAGAAGATTTTAAAAGTCGCAATTATGTAAACTGGTTTCCAGGAAACCCTGATCTAATGCATGACATGTTTACATTTTTGAATGCAATTTATATGTTTGTTCCTCTCTCCAAACCAACAGCCTGAATGGAAGATAGCAGATCCTATTTGTACTTTTCTGTTTTCATTATTTGTGCTTGGAACAACATTCACCATCCTGAAAGACATCTTCAAAATACTCATGGAAGGCAAGTGATTGATTGATCTAGATGTAACTGCCCAGATGTTTTAAACACAAGCTGAATGTTGTTTTATCTGAAGGAGTCCCGTGTGGTGTTGACTTTGACTCAGTGAAAGACGCTCTGCTATCAGTGAGCGGAGTCAAATCTACACACAGTCTGCGCATGTGGTCTCTCACCACCAGCGAAACCCAGCTCTCCGTCCACGCAGTCATAGGTGGGTTAGAGTGCCATTTAAATGCTCACACAAATGGCACTGGGTGACCAGTCCCAGTTTTTGGTGTCCTGAGACAGGAAGTGTCCTCGTTTTTACAGCACGTTCAAAACTCCCCGCAAATACACTGCAAAAAAATCAGACCAACACAACTTTTTACCAGAGTAATCATGTAGTGAATGTTTTCACCAACAAAGGGTGCTGCCAGCTTTACACATTACTTGGTCGTGCACCACTAGATCAATGAACCCCTATGGATTTCAAGGTAGACACAAGCTAACTATTTGTATTAAAGTAATACAATTTGCATGCACTATATCAGTGGTTCCCAACCCTGGTCCTGGAGGCACCTCAACACTGCACGTTTTGCATGTCTCCTTAAACAAACACACCTGATTCAGGTCATCAGCTCATTAGTAGAGACTTCAAGACCTGAAATTGATGTGTCTGAGAAAGGAGACATGCAAAATGTGCAGTGTTGGGGTGCCTCCAGGACCAGGGTTGGGAACACTGCACTTTATAACAGGACCTGAACAGGATGCGGGTTTGATTTTCAGTTTTAAAACATTCCTGAAATGTCAGTCGCAGGATTTCCCTCACGCATCTATACAACTATACCACGTGGGTGAAAGTATACTCTGCGATGAATAAATAATAATAATAATAATCTAAATAATTACACTTGCAACAATTGCATTTGCAGAAAGTACATATTTTGTGCTTTTAATAAACCTAATAATGCATATTAAAGATTTCCAAAAGCACAAACATTTAGGGGAAAGAATATTATAAAGGTAATTACTGTATAGGCCAACAGTATCTTCACAGTTTGTGAAAATGAGTTACTGTTTATCGTGTGTTCCCATATTTACTTTATTTTGGTAAAGTTATGATTTTGTCATTATATAATACAGTTTTGATCTGTTTGCCATTTGCAGCAGTTACTATATACTATTCATAGTGTTATTTTGGTGAATTGTATTAAAACCAGTTGGGGTCCATTTATCATCATAATTAATAATAATAATAATAAATATATTGAACCCAAAATTACAACTTTTTTATTGTTTTTGTTTTATTAATCATAGAAAATACAAATTAAAATCTCAATATTTTGACCACTGAACTAGGAAATTCTGGTTTCTATTATCAGAAATCTGGTCAGCTTACTGTAGTTTTAACCCAAATGAACGATTTATTTTCCAGATGAGCAAACCAACCCACAGACTATGCTAATGGACATGACCAGATTGCTCCAGACACAATATGGATTCAGCAATATCACCATTCACAGAGATGCACACAGATGACGTGGCTTGTTGCTTGCAGTGCCAGGACCCGATGGACTGA